ACGGGATGCCAAGGTGAGGAGATGGCGCCAGTTTGTAGAGCAGCACCTCGTGCCATACTTGTCGAAGACCTTACTTTCTTCAATTAGGTTCTGATCTTCGTGATGTTCCATTCCAGTGAGCTGAAACCCTACTGGACTAAGGCTGTTTTTGGACTTCGTCCTCTTCAGGATGGACGAGGCGTGGTCCTTGTTCTCTAGGACTCTGGAGATGTTTATTACTCAACGAAGCTGAAGAGTGGTTGAGGAGGTTCTTTACGCATATTACTGACAAGGAACAGAAGTATTTTCTGCTGTAGCAATGATGACGAATCAACAAATCACTTATTGATCAACACCAGAGATAGAAAGTTTATTTAAATTATTAACCTGTGGAAGCTTAGCGACTGTATTATTCAGATGAAACATTGGCATTCTGATTTGCAATTTAAATATATTAAAATGACTATGCATTACCTGTAATGGAGATTGACGGTAGAAAGTGTAAACATTAGTCACATTACGTAGGCTGAGGTATCTATCACAGTGTAGTGAGTGAATATAAGCACATAATTTGCATTTTCCTTCCAATCCTTCCTTATCCAGTTTTGGCTAAATATATTGGTATCTATACATTATTAGGCAAGCATGTTGCTTAGAAACCTTTTTATCAGCTCGTGGTGCACCGCGGGGAAAATCTACGCATACAGTTGAAAAGATACTTACAGTTGGAAAGATATCCTGTAGATGTGCAGAATCCCTTTATAAATTAAAATAGGCTCAAAAATAACCACAAAAACGTAATTTATAGTTTTAAAAAATTAACATGGGCCTTACGGGTTGTTATCCTGGTGACGAAATTGCAACGAAATATAAACAGAAAATCAAAACAAATTGAAGAAATTCCAATCACATGTTTTACTTACAGTGTGGGGTGAAAATAGGTGAAGTCTATTTTTGGTAGAGTTTTCGACCACTGGACGACCTCTTGTATTATTAAATTTACTCAACAAGTAGGCTAATTAACAACACCTAACTCGCTAAAACTAACAATCATTCAACGTTTATGTCACCATGTATTACTTTTCAACAACTTTTTAAACTATATTATTTTTTACAGGAGTAAGGTCTGATGGTTATTTCGCATATCCTACCTTGCTCAGAAGCAGAAGAGTGAGTAGTTTGCTCAGAGAGTATCCATAGCTCTATGTTCTGTTGTTGTCTGGACTCTGGTCATAAACCGTGTTGGATGTGGTCGTAGAATTAATGATTCATTACGACCTGCTGAAGAGTCGTTAAACCGTGAACGGTTAAAACAGGAGTTACCTAACTAAGACAAAGCTTACGATACCTAGTTTTCAAAGGTTGACGAGTTTTGAAATAAATCAACTGGCGACATATTTACATTACAGACCAGTTAAAATACGTTCCAGCTGTATGATAGATATGAATGACCAGTCATGACTAAGTTGACAATATTGGATCCAAACTGTTGAGTTTTAGAAGGCTCTAATATAAGTGCTGATGCAATATTCCGAATTCCAAAATGTATGCTTTAACTGTAAAAATGGAGAATTATAAGGCTACGCTGCTTATCGGGTATAAAGGATTAAAGACACATCACTCTCTCATTCTCTGTCTCCTAGACCTAACCTATCTGGTGGATAGTGGTGGAACAAGTTACTTATGTATGTAGAAAGTAGTCAGTGTTTTGGACAATAATTGTGGATCTATTGTGTAGTGAGGTTAGGGACATCTCAACAGTTGTTGTTGCTACCACTCTCAAGGCAAGTACTTGGTCAATTGATAATGCGAATTAGAAAGGTGCGCTGAATTCGGTTGCCAACAAGCTATTTCCAACAAGTGGCATAACAGCAATAAAGTTTAAAGCTAAAAGGCGATAGGCCAACAACTACTGGTAATGAAAATCTTGGTAGCCAATTTGATTGTAACATAGCAACTCAAAGATCCCGATTCGTATTTCAATAACATGTTAACTCCTAATGTCACAGTGGGGAGCGAGCTGGTCTAGTGGTAGAGCGGTGGCTTTTGTCTCCGAGGTACCGAGTTCCAATCCTGCAAATCACCAAATGATTTATACTCAAGTGGATTAAACGTATATTTCCCTCAACACACAACCACGCCCTCAGTAGATTTGCCATCCATGGCTAAGCTGAAGCCAGTGTTATTATTAGTTCTGTCCGGTGCCGCTAGGAGCTTGTTTTTGTTTACAATTTGTTTCTTGTTATTGTTAATGTTAAAACCGAATAAAACTATTTAATCATAAACAACATTTTGTCCCCTAACTATATAACTAAAAAAAAGCACAACTAAAGAAATATACAATAAAATAATAAAAACAAACCTTTGTCGACACTAGCGTCCAGTGTTACAGACGAACTAGACACAAAAACGAGCTTAAAATTGTATAATGGGATGAGAAGTTTACTTGGGATGGTTAGTATATGGTTGTAGCATAGACTAACCAACATGTATTATCAATGGTCGTAGCCAGTTTTTTTAATGAAAATAACTTTAGTTCGAATGAACCAACGACAGAGTGCGATGATGTGAATTACTAATTTCTGTCACTTACGCCAACCTTTCAATCAAGCTAAGCCGAAATAAACACTAACATACTTTAATCATGCTTTAATATAGACTTAAGCATCTTGAACGTCAACAGATAGAAGTCAAAATATAAAAATACGAAAAATAAAACACAACTTCAGCCAGTAGCACACTCTGAGAGGTGAGAGATTCGATTGCATTATTTTAATAAATAACTGTACAGCTGGTTCAAAATGTGTGGTGTCTACTCCAGTATTAGAAGTGGTACGGTACATCACAACATAATTATTGTGATTGTGAAGTAGACCAACGTAAGCTACTTCCTCATATCTAATGCACTCGGAGTGCAACGCAGTACGGTGAGAATGTTTCCGTAGTTTTGTTACAAGAGATCGTTATCATTGAGATGCCAACACTTGGAAACGCAAACATCGCATTAAAATTTCGTTAAATCTTATTATGACATAAATTTTTGCAGAATTTATGTTGATGGTTACTTTTACCTACGGCCGTTTTTTTAAATAGCCGTTTCAGTTCAGTTCTTAGAATTAAAAAGTTTCACATAACAGCATGATAGTAACGTGTTGGGTAACGGATCATCAATGAGGTTCAAGGATTGATAGAGAAGAAGTAAAATTGTAATGCTTCGAACTTCAGCTAAACAGCTGTTTACCAATTCAATTGTTATAACGATTGGTGCAATTAGTGATTGGTACAATGAGTCGTTGCATCAATGTCAGTGGCAGTGAGAGGTTATAAACGAAGACATAATCACTCTGAGAAGTTTTGAGTAGTGATTATTAGTAATTAAATACCAGTTGTAGGTAAATTAGCGCACGCAACTCGCGTAAATAGTACAACACTCGTACCACGATTACTAGAAAAATACCGGTATGGATCATAAACATAAACAAATTACGTTGTTGGCCCGAATCCTATACTAATAGCATTGAACATATGTTTTGGCAGTTCCATTTAAGCAATGTTAAATAATGTTTATTTTCGGGCCAAAAACGTCATTTTGTTTATGTTTATGATCCATACCGGTATTTTTCTAGTAATCGTGACTCGTACCGTAGAAGTTTTTAAGGCAAGGCTCGTACCTTAATTGTTCTACTCGTGTCCACACTATCTTTACGCGATCTTTGCGTAAACTACTATTAACATTTTATTGAATGAATAAGCCCGTGTCTAAGAGCCGTTTTTAATTTTTTAGTACATGGTAATTGTGATTCGTATTTATGAATGTTTCTTACTGTCTTGAGTGAGGTTAGCAGGTGTATCTCACAATTTTACTCACAAGTATACTGTATAAACTTATATGTGCAAGATAAGCTTCCGCCGACCCTCGGGATTACCCCTGTGCATAGTGTTTATTTCTCTTGTTTAAGTTTATCTACAGGTAACACCCGCTGCTCGCACATAGTCCGGCAGTTTAATGCTTATGTTCGTATGTGTACCCTTTCAATATCACATGTCTCAGAAATTTCTAACCAATAAGTTATAATGATATGTGCAAGAAATTACGTATTCTCAACAATAACATTGCAAAGTAGCCAGATTAAGTAGAGTGCTGGATTAAAATAAAACTTTAGGTACAAACATATAAAAACGTCCTTGGTTTATTTTGTTAATTTGATATTAGTCCGTTATTTAATAGAAATAACGGTACCTATTGTTATCTTTTTTTAAGGCTATTAATTACAACAATATGTAACTCAATTCGTTTGTTTATGCCATACCATATACTGTATGTTCTCCTGTGCGAGACTTTTGTTTGAAGATTCGCTAGTTTGTATTTTTTACCGAAATCATTATTCAATGTTTAAACAAAGTGTATTACACGATTTTGTGAACTCCTTTTGTTCCTGAGTCTAAATATCGTTGCCGAACTTATTACAACAATACAGGGGAAAATCGTATAGACTTACGCGTAGGGAGGGCCTCATTTAAAATTTGTAACTAAGACAAATAACCAGAGGAGGCTATGCAAATAATCAAAACAGAAATCAATAATATTTAATAAATAGTAGTGTAGAATAGTTATGCCTATTAAAACCATTGCGTACTATCATTGACTAACCAACAATTAGGGAGTATGTTTAATCTATAACAAGTTACTATCATTGATCATACATCTCCCCAAGAGGAGATCTATAGTCAATAATACTACTCAGAACATGCATTGACCATTGACAGCAGATAATCTTCCTAGCTCGTATGAAACTATGAACATTGTATGCTCAAAAGTAATACCATAGATTAAACATAGGCCTATTCCCTTTGTTTAACCTTAATCATAGACTAACCAATGCCTTAATCTAACAGTTAATTAAAATCAGTGATCTTACTATTTAAGTGATGCTTTTTTGCTGATTGTTTACACGAACAATTTAATTACTTAACATGTGATCAAGCTCGCAGTGAATTGTTTCTACAGTGATGTCCAACTCCAACAATGACTTTTAAATACAAAGTTTGGTTAAGCTATGTAATAATTTTAATAATCTAAATCTTGGAAGTTGGAGGTAAATTAAAATGTTAATTTTAGGAAGCAACCTCATAATGTCAACGACATGTTTATTATTGATTTTTGTTGCTTTAACATCCGCGGGAAAGGACGGTTTAAAATCTGAAAATGATACAGAAGATGTGAGTGCGGTCAATGATAAACAAACGAAGAGAGATACTAAACAGAAACACGCCGAATTACTTCAAGTTCCTCGAGATGCGTCATACTTCTTCGATGATCTTGAACCTTTCAATGATAATACCAATGTAAAAGACAATAAACAGGATGAAGTAAGACCAGTTCGTGCAATCCTTCCACAGGTAGCCTATACTTGATTAACTTATTTTTTTGCCCAATATTTGATGGTTGGGATGAACTGGGTCAATTGTCCTTGAGCATTGGGCTTTTAATAATTGGCCCCGACTAATGAAACAGCTAGGTAGGCATACACTTAAGGAACAAAAAAGCGACATAAAGCATTTAGGCATCCCACTCCGTACTCATCCTTCACTCATAAGTTAATTTAGTTGAGTCTAAGTACATTATGTCTTAAGCTCAAAGTAAAGTAGGGCAGTAATGTTTTATCCTAATTTACCTCTGAATGTACCATAGTAATGTTACCATTATACAATGTTTTGAGGGGGTTTCTGGATATGGTAAAAAACATACTTCTTCTTGGCAGTTTGCAGAGGTTAATGGAAAAGCGAGCTGGTCTGAGCTAGGAGGAACTGGTAGGTCCGGGATTCAAATCCCGCCAATCGCCAATTTTACTTCTAGTTATGTTATAATGACGACTCCCCCATTTAATAAGTTATAAGTTGTGCTTATTATTAAGGCTATTTAGCAGTTGCATTTAGAATTAGGCCTAGATATGCACAATACTCTCCCTGTTATGTTTTGTGCTCAACAGCACATCCAGGCTTAGCATCAGTAACTTCAATACAATCTTGAAAATTATCATCTGCAAGATAGCCTCTACTAAACAATAAAAAAATTATTAAAAAATGCATTTTGTGTCCATGTACCGTAACATATTATCCATTATTTAATTTTAACTGTCTTTTCACTCATATGAAAACAAGGTAAAGAACAGTGGAAAGAAGGAAATGATAGATGCTGAAGAGGAGGAAGAGGATGATAAAGTGGAAGAAGAGGAGAAAAGTGAAGGAGATTATCAAGAGGATGAAGACATAGAGCCTGATTGCCTGCCCACCACAGAATCTTGTACTTCTTCTACTGAGGTATGTTAACTAGTGTAAATTGGGTAGAGAAACCAATTTTGAAATTATTATATTTAGTAGCCTAAAATTGTATTATTCTTATGCCTAATATCATAAATTCGTCAACCTAAGTTAAATGATCACCATAAAACCACATTAAGCATGTAGGCATAATATTTTTTGATTGGTTAACAAGAAGGAAATCTTATAAGTTAAATGTTGGTCCTTAAAAAACAGTATTACCAACTACATGATTTCCCCCCTCAAATTTTACAACTGTGTAAGTAGGTCTACCTTAGCATTTGTTACTTAGGTAAACTAACACTGAACAGTGAAAGTGATATTATAGTCAGTTGGTATTATTGAATACAGTTATACAGTTTCATTCACTGTCAAAGAGTGTCCAGAGAGCATCAAGTGAGATCTATTCACATTGACAATCAGATGAACTTAAAACTGTTGTTATGGGATTTCCATTCTTCAAGTATACAACAATCAGATCCAAGTATATCCAATACCTACCTTATCTCATTCATATCTTGTCATTACAGTGTACAACTCCCAGCACAGAATGTTCCACCACTAAGCATCAGTGCACTACTACATGTAGAACAACAACCCCCTCAAAGTGTACAACTACCCCCTCGTGGAAGTGTATGAAAACTGAAGAGACCCACGTGTGTTCTAAAAGCTGTGCTAAAGGTAAATACTGACATTTCCACTCATGCTAAATACCCAAGTCAAGTTAGGAATTGCACTGGTTTACAACAAGGGTTGTCCTAAAATTTATGTCTCCCATGGCCATTTTCCCATTTAGTTAATGGCACACATTAAAGAGTAACTTGCACCCTTTTTACTCTGTGGTAGTGGTCAATTATGATGAGGAAAAATCTTAAGTTTCAGCTAAGTATGAATCACATTCTGTTGTGGAAGGAGGTAAATCCTTCAATCCCAACAGGAATCCATTGCCAGTTGTGCATTAAGAAAAGTGTTAGAAAACTTGTTCTAAAGTAGCTTGGGGAGTTTATAGAGGCCATATATAAATATATAGACCTCAAAATTAGCAACAGGTGTCCATCAGTTTGCTTGCAGTTTGGCGTAGCTAAAGATTTACCATTGTCCTTTGCAGACAGAGTACTTTGTCAACTATCCAGCCATCTCTTGATCTAGACTCCTCTTGCTCTTTATGCACATTTTCTGATCTGACACATTTAAGTTATATCTTCAATTATTTTTAATTTACAATGGCAAATTACTCATAACAATATCTTGTATACGGTATTTACTACATAAAAAGTGAACATCTGAAAGTTTATTTAAATTATTAATTACTTACCTAGATTGATGTGTTTATTATTTTTGTTTTTATTTGCAATTTATAATAAACCAAATTAAATGTTTAGAAGGGTTATTTGTGGATCATACTTTAAAATGTAATTCTTTTAGGGAATCATAAGCAAGCTCGTTATCCGCTACCTGAGAAAACCAAAAGCTGGGATTCAGAAGGAAAAAGGACAAAGAAAAAATTCCATACAAAAATCAACCATGATAATAATAATTAAATTTTAACCTAATTAATATTGGTTTTTTGTTTTAGTTTGTTGAATGGTACTTTCCTGTTAGAGGGAACATTCATTATTGATGATTTTTTTGATGTATCGATATTTTTGTTTTCCTTTACAATCCACATTCTTTCTGTTTAGATTTTAATCACTTAATATCATCAAATGCATTTAGATTGCAAATTAACAAGCTGCTTGTTTAGACAAAAATAATATATGGATTTGAATTAAGAAATGAAACTGTTTTAACCTATCATAACTAACCAAACTTGCTGTAGGCCAACCATTTCAAAATTCCGTTTGATAACAGAAAAGGCATGGGGGAAATATCAAATGGAATTTTGAAACGTTACAGCAAGTTTGGTTAGTTATGTTAGGTTAGTTTAGAACAGTTTCATTAAAATATTTGTTATTTTAATTGTTTGTTGATATTGAACAATATTTATTTATCGTAGTTGTCATGTCAGCTGATATGTTTCAATTTGTTAATATCGATATATTGGGTCAAAAAATAAAATACTGATATATAAAAAAATCATAGATATAAAACTTATCAGCCAATGAAAATCAAATTTTAGTTTATTGGTTTGTTTCTTTAACACTTAAAAAAATTAAATAATTTGAGTCAAGTACAATCTGAGGTTAAGTTTTTTTTCTGTTTTGATTGTTTAAAAAATCCTTCATAAAATAATGTTACTGTTGAGAATTATATTATAATGAGAAATGTTATTATTTTATAAAGGCTAACATGTAAAATTTTTTTTAACAAAAAACTGAACACTTATTAACACCTATTATTACTTGTGTAATGATTTTTTTGTTAAATGTGGTTGTTTTGCTGGGTTTTTCATAAATTTCACGTCATCTTTATATTTTACTGACAAAGAATCATGGGTTTGGGCCATTGCTATCTAATCGAGCTACAATGCTCATGCTTTAATTGGTTTCTAAGAAATAATGGTATAATTGCTAGTCTCTTAAGGCATGTTAGAATATAAATAAAAAATAAAATAAAATAAATCGTTCACAAAACATAGTTCAAGTACTGTTTAAGTTAAGTTTTTAAAGTTTAAAAGTAAAACTGGATGAAAAATTACCTAAATATTGACTGAATCTGTTCCATCCAAAATGGAAAAGCCTATAAGGGAGTAAGTTAATAAATGATAACCAAGAGTAATTTAATCTTCTGCTGTGAAAATAAATGAAACAAGACAATATGAGTAACTAAAATATATTTATTGTATTTACAAAATTTTAGAACAACAACCATGGGCGTCCATCTAATTTTTCTAAGCCAGGGGTCTCAGGGTACAGAATAACCCCTAATAAAAAGGGTGTCCGGAAGTCCTACCACAGATAAAATGTAGGTAAACATTTTTGTAGATTGTATGTATTTTTGTAGCTTACCTAAATTTCCTTTGTCAATCTATTGTTTTTTCCAATTTTTTTTAAATTTACTAACTACTTACTGCAGTGGCCTATGGTACTCTAAGTGGTACTTGGCCCCCCCCCCCCCCAACACAACACCTCCATTCTTTCTCTATCTCTTGCCTCTTCCTTATTTTTTATTATTTAACTTTTATTGTTGGTGGGGTCTAATAATTGGGAGGGGGCTCCATATTGATGGATGCCCGTGGCAACAACTGTATATAACTACAGATTGAATATGGATATTATTTCAATCAAACATTCAACAAGCAAACACAATTCTTACACATTGATGAAGGACTGGATATACTACTGACTCACCTAGCCCTAGGCCCAGGCAGTTAGTAGCTGACAAAAAGTTTGCAGCACAATGGACTAGATATTCACTCACTCCAAGTGGGCGAATCATGAATCTAATTGTCTTGGAACACTTTTTAAATGCTGTCAACTGTCTGGAACTATTTTCTTATGTGAATTAGATGCGTATCCATTTCTTTTTACTTAATGTAACATGAAGCTTAAATTGAAATCCATGGTGATGGTTTTCGGCATCAACCGCTTCGTCAGTTGTATTTAAAAAAATAAATGCAATTGACGACGCGGTTGACACCGAAAACCATCACCATGGATTTCAATGACACCGGCCGCGAAAGCCTACTCATGAAGATGGAGCTTAAATGTTTTTTTTTTCTTAAACAACACAACAGTTTATATCATTGTTAGTAAGTATACACAACAGTTCAGGATCTGCAAACTAATCACTGTCCTCGGATGAGAAAGTCCCTATAACATGACAAGAAATTTAGTACACAAACCTAGCTAAACCTTGTGTCTTGCTTGAGCTGCCATCTTGTTATGGTTTCATCTCAGGATATTGTATTTCTTGTTTTGCCTTGCTATACAACAATCGCCTCTATGCGGTTTTAAATTTATGATTTTCTAGCTTTGGCTGGGTTTGTCATATTTTAGGTACTCACCAGAGGACAGGATCAGATTCCAGATGCTGAAGCTAAGTGAAAACTTTGTTTTTACTAATTTTGATGGAAAATGACTGCAATGTTCGGTTAAATCACATAATCTCGCCTTGAACAAAAACAAACTAGAGACAAAAATTGGTCTTTTCAAGAGGGCCACTTTTAAAATTTCTCCTATGCAAATGAGGTAGGAATATCGATGAGGATGAATATTGACGGAAACAACAATGTTGAGTGTTATTTTACCCCCTTTTTTCATGTGCAACAGATGGGCTGCCGCTGCATCGTTAAATTTAGTTTTAGCGTCGATGTATTATGTTTGGCAAATACATTGACAATTTATCCTTTATATCACCTTCATTTGCATTGGAAAAATTGTTAGGGCTCTTGATAACTCGCAAATAACTTATATAACAGTGACAATCTTTTTATGCTATGAGCCGAGTAGAGCAGCCGTCACTTGCTCAGGGGTGCGAGACATGAGCTGGGAAGGGTTGGCGTACAGATTGTCAGGATTGTGAACTGCGTTGTACAGCTGAGTGTAGATGGCTGTGATGACTTGGGTTGCTCGACGCTGAACAACCGAGCGATGAGCGTTACTGAGCAAACATTCCATCTGAGGCAAACTGAACATGTCTGGTACATTCAGCAGACTCTCCAGCTTACCCTAAACACACCAACACAATTACTTTCTGTGTTGAGTACGCTAAACACACTTTTTACATGTAACCATCTACAGAAAGTTAGACGAGAGGGTCAATATTTTAGAATACGGGGTAAAACTGATTGTAAAAAAAAAGACTAAGACCACAGAAAACGTACTATTATAACCCAGAATGCCAACCGCATGGTAAAAAGCATTAAGTGTTTTGAGAGAGCTTTGCCTGTCAATCCGTAGGCAGCGCCACCAGCGTTGTTATGCTATTGCATGGCAACGCTGGTGGCGCTGCCTACGGATTGACAGGCAAAGCTCTCTCAAAACGCTTAATGCTTTTTACCATGCGGTTGGCATTCTGGGTTATAGTAGTACGTTTTCTGTGCTAAGACACATATCTCAAAATAAATAAAGCCAATGATAAAAATATTAAGTAATCACAACTACTCTACTTTTTTAAAGTGAATATTCACCTACATCTAACTATTGTACAAAATAATTACAACATTTCAAAAGATTTGTAGAATATACTACTTGCAAAAATATAATCATAAAATTTTGTTTGTTTCAAAACGGCAACCATTTTTACCACTTTTTTAAATTTTACTTAATTACTTTAATCGCTTTAATTACTTTTATTTTCATGACTTTATGAAAAAATCAAGATACATTTTTTTGCTTTGCATTTAAATTTTCTAACAAAACATAACATAGTTTTTTGTTTGAAAAGATTGAACAAAATAAAGCTTTTTATCTCGATTTTTAGTTGCAAAAGCCAGTCTGAGGTGCACTCTGACAGTTTTGCCTTATTTTACATCTTAAATTAACAAAAATTATATAAACAAAAATTAAAACAGCCGCCATTTTGAAACTAAAAAGTAGTTTCAACGGTTATTTTTTTTCAAACAGTAAATTCTATTTCAAATTTTTGTACTTTTGAGACACCTAATATATTTTTACCTTCTTAGTAAAATCCTAATATTCATCAATCATTCAACATGGTTAGTGATGATTCCTCACTGATTTCATGTCAGAGGAAAAACCTCAATTTATGTGAAAATACATGTACCACCTCAAATAAACCTTAAGTCTAAATATGGCTAAAATTAATATCAGTACGGAATTAATTAAAAATGAAGTTTTGACTGTTTCAACTAAATATCAATTAGAAATCTATTAGAGGAGTTTTGGTTTACCAAGAAGTTGTTGAGGTTTGCCGGCTCCATGCCAGGCACCTGTGACAAAGGTCCCTTGCCTTGCTCCTGGAGGATTGTGTAGATGGGTCCCAGGTTGAGGTTGGCCACTAGAGAGGAAGCCTGTTCTGAGGTCAAGGTGTCTAGCTGTGCATCAGACTGCGCCTACATCAAATACCACTTGGCATCATCTACAAGTGACCTGGTTACCTCTAAATATTTAGCACATTTCATTATTAAATTGTTGGCCAGTTCTCTCTAAGTCTCTTACAAGGAGAAGTCTAAGGAGGTACAATACTACTTGATTCGTCTTGAGCTTTGTTACAAATTCATCAATCTACATTGCAAAAACAATTATGAAAGTAACACATGCATTATTGGTAAACAAAACAGCAAAAAAAGTCTAATACATATTAAGTTTTCTAATGATTTCCTACAAATATTATTTCATTTGAAACTTTTACATTGATAGGTTCATTACCAGCCTTCACACTCCTATGTATGTGCAGTATACTGACACTTGGTTATGAATGAGTTAAAGTGCTTCAATTTAGCAGCATTATTAAAATTCCTATTAATATTTATTTTCTTATTGTTTGGGCTTAAGAGTCCTTGGAATCTAGACGTTCTAACTCATAAAACAATTTAAAAAAACTACAAAGAACATTTCTAATCCCACAGTATACTAGATAATCAAATTACAATCACTGGTATTTGAAAAATATTTTGAGATGGTGAATAACTCTTCAGCGGCTGTTTGAAAAAACGAAATTAACATTTCTCTTATGGCGAGGAAATTCAAGTTGGCGGTTGGCTTCCATAGACTCCCTTGGAAATCAATCCGAAACAACAACGAATACTTCTAATCTCATAGTATACTAGATATTAAAATTATAATTACTTTGGTGTTTGAAAAACTATTTTTTGATTATAATTCACTCTTCAGCAGCTTTTTGAAACTGTCCAAGATGGCCGCTAGCCTCCAAGGACTCTTAACAATTACCTTAAGTCGTTCAAGCCTTTCATCCATAAACTCATAAAGTGCCAGAGTAGTAGTCATGAGGTGTAGGCAATTAAGAAGGTAGACAGCCATGTCAGTAGCTGCAAGCCTTGAGGCACTCAGAGTGATGGCTTGGAGCAGTGGGTCCATCACACAAGAAACTACCTGAAAATGAGCAAGGATAAAGTAGACTGTCATGACAGTAGCTGCAAGCCTTGAGGCACTCAGTGTGATGGCTTGGAGCAGTGGGTCCATCACACAAGAAACTACCTGAAAATTAGCAAGGATAAAGTAGACTGTCATGTCAGTAGCTGCAAGCCTTGAGGCACTCAGAGTGATGGCTTGGAGCAGTGGGTCCATCACACAAGAAACTACCTGAAAATTAGCAAAGGATAAAGTAGACTGTCATGATAGTAGCTGCAAGACTTGAGGTACTCAGTGTGATGGCTTGGAGCAGTGGGTCCATCCCACAAGAAACTACCTGAAAATTAGCAAGGATAAAGTAGACTGTCGTTGTCATGACAGTAGCTGCAAGACTTGAGGCACTCAGTGTGATGGCTTGGAGCAGTGGGTCCATCACACAAGAAACTACCTGAAAATTAGCAAGGATAAAGTAGACTGTCATTGTCGTGACAATACCGGCAAGACTTGAGGCACTCAGTGTGATGGCTTGGAGCAGTGGGTCCATCACACAAGAAACTACCTGAAAATTAGCAAGGATAAAGTAAACTGTCATTGTCATGACAATACCTGCAAGACTTGAGGCACTCAGTGTGATGGCTTGGAGCAGTGGGTCCATCACACAAGAAACTACCTGAAAATTAGCAAGGATAAAGTAAACTGTCATTGTCATGACAATACCTGCAAGACTTGAGGCACTCAGTGTGATGGCTTGGAGCAGTGGGTCCATCACACAAGAAACTACCTGAAAATTAGCAAGGATAAAGTAGACTGTCGTTGTCATGATAGTAGCTGCAAGACTTGAGGCACTCAGTGTGATGGCTTGGAGCAGTGGGTCAATCACACAAGAAACTACCTGAAAATTAGCAAAGGATAAAGTAGACTGTCATGATAGTAGCTGCAAGACTTGAGGCACTCAGTGTGATGGCTTGGAGCAGTGGGTCCATCACACAAGAAACTACCTGAAAATTATCAAGGATAAAGAAGACCGTCCCGTAAGTAGCAGCCCTACAATACATCCACATTCCCCTTACTGACAATAGCAGCTCTGTAAACTCCCTACCCCATCCTTCAAGGCATCTAGGTTCCCCATACTGACAACAGCAACACTGTAAACTCTCTACCCCGTCCTATACGACATCTAGGTTCCCCATACTGACAACAGCAACACTGTAAACTATCTACCCCATCCTACACGACATCTAGGTTCCCCATACTGACAACAGCAAGACTGTAAACTCTCAACCCCATCCTACAAGACATCTAGGTTCCCCTTACCGACAACAGCAGCGCTGTAAACATACTACCTTGACATGATGGTTGGAAACCATTAGAGATATTTGAAATTGTAAGTAATAAACATAACGTTGTTGGAGAAGACTGACCCTCTTACCTTGTTTATATCATCTTGTCTTCCTTCTGCTACACTAGCGATGGAGATGATCTCCTTGAGGAGTGTGAGCAGTGGTGGAATACCAGGAGAAGGTGACAAGTCAGGGGGAGGAGCGTCCACCTTCTCAAGGAGTTGCTGCTTAACCTGCAATGATGAGGTTTATTATTTTACTTATTTAAAGTATTATCACACTCATCAACTACACATTTAAATAATTTTACATAATGACAAAATATGAAGTGGTTTAAGTTGCAATAGTTCATTCTAAACCTTTTACTTTGTAAGTTTCCAAGAAAATTTCACTACTCGAGCAATCATAAATTCAGACTACTTTCAAAATACCGTGACTGAGATAGCAGCTGGATAACATTTTGGCTGGTTAAGCCAATGTAATAATCCTTACATTAATCCTTACTTAAATAAACTATTGTTTTTATTTCCTAAACATTGTTAACTAACGTGGTCTATGTTATGACTTTGACTTCAAAGCATCGATCAAAAGTGTTTGTTGTCACTCCATTTGGCAAAACAGACCTGTTAATGCATTCATAAGTAGTCAGTGAGAAGTTATTCCCATTTCTAACAAGATAAACCAGTTAAAGCAGCGCTCAGTTGAAACTTAGTAAGTGGGATTACAAAATTATACATGTGAATGAAAAATGTTTTGGTTACATAAATTAGAAGACATCCTCATCTTTTAGGCTTGCCAACTTTTCATAATTATTACTGTCTTGTTATATTATTTGAGTTTGACTAGTATTTATTCACTACCTGAGATTGAAGTGTGGACAAGAAAGCCTTCTCACTGTTTGAGTGGAGCTCGGAGAGTGTTGCCTCCAGGCTGCTCCCAGGTACCACCTTGAAAATTAAATAATGGCATTTGCATATAATGGCTCCAACACTTTATATAGGGCTCAACATCAAAACTGAGTCATAAATTCTTAGTGATGGACGGCACGGCATTGTACTTATAGTTTAGAACAGGAAAGGACAATATTTTTATTTCCTTTCTGATCACAAGTTTTCCTTCTGCACATTATGGGAAACATTAGTTTTTTGTTAACCCCATTTTTACCCCATTAAACCACTGTTCCCATAGTCCAATTATGCTGGTTCGCGAACTCGTTCGAATAAATGTAGGTTTACACGTTTATACCAAATTTCATCAAAATCGGATCATTTTTGCTCGAGTTATCTTGCTAAGAGAGACATATATAGATATATATTATTTATGCATTTGAATGGATGGTGATTTTAGCCTCCGGGGACCTCAAAACAAAAATGTAAATTGGTCCTGGGTCCAGGTCTTACCATAAAACCTACAGTAATAGCTTGTTCCCTATATGGAAAATTTGCTAAAAAGCTGTTTTCATAATACATGGGCCATGGGGGTATGTATCTAGTTCATCGTCCTAAAACCCCTTGATTAGAGGTAAAAAATTCAATTCAATTCATATTGAAAATATATCTTACAATTCATGTCTAATGTATTTACCTGGTTGAACGTCTGCAAATAAAACCGCAGCAAATTGGATACATGATATAAGGATACAACAGATGTATCTGTAGCAAGGATCTGATCTACTCTTACTTGCAGAGGATGACAGACACCCTCAGATATGTTAGACAAAGCTTGCTGTACTTCCTCACTGACATCTGCAAAAATGATACATTATACTCTGTTATACATTATACATTGTTATACTTGGAGAAATGGGGAACCTTTTATTGTCATTTGTAGAAGAAAAGGTATTGTAATGGCACACACTCTGGGATATGAAATTGCTGCCCATAAATTCCATGAACTAGGCTTTCAACATTCATGTTTTTGTAAAAGTTTTGAGGTGAAACTGATAGGTAGTAATTAAATAACTTACGTCATCAATCCATAAATGATTATGGATTGATGACGTAAGTTATTTAATTATTTGATAACTCAATCCGTTGTGCTACAATCTCAACATTATGATAGGTAGTAATACAAAGTCATAGAGGTCTGCTGATTTCTGAGCTGAGCCAAGCCTAGCCTAAAATGTGGAATATTGAGCTGAGCCAATTCTACTAATATATTTTTGGAATCACTGAAATCGACTTCTAAGATTGCACAACCGCCTTTGAACATTCGCAACTTTGCCTTGATTGTGACGGACGATAATAGTGTATTTGCAATGGCCAGACACTTTATTGATGGTCCGTGATTGTGAAAATTAATCATCTTTGTTAAGGTGTGATGTAATTATTGTGATGTATACATTGAGATAGATGCACATTACACCAAATTTATGATTGCTAAGGATAATAATGCTTTATTATTGGTCATAATATAAAACATGCTTTAATCCCTATTAGTCAAATAGCAAGTTATTAGTTGGATAAGAAACTAACCTGATTTCTAAGAAGGATATGAGAGTAACTAACTCACTAACCAGTCTTGGTGTCACAGTTTTTCAGCAGAGTCAGTAAGTTGTCTCTCTCGCCTGGTATAGCCTGATGTAGCCAGGCCAGCATGTCGCCCACGTAGCGCTTGGCGTCATGAGCGTGTGCCTCGATGGGCTTGGGCGTTCCACCGGGTCCTCCCTTGGTCAGGGCATCAATGAACAAATGTACGAGGACAGCTCTTCTACATGTGCAGTACTCTGTCAGCACATACCTAACACATCACATTAAGTATCAGCTGATTAATGTACAAGGACCGGATATTTTTCCACTTCCAACACATCATGCAGGCTGATTAACGTGGGACGAAATCACAATTGTTTGTCTTTTGATAACTCAAAATACAGTACACTCAGATAATCAATAATTTAAATTAGTAATGTTTACATTATTATTTCGTTAGCTATCGTTTATAGCTCGGTAGCTGAGTGGATACAGTGCTCACCTAGAAATCAGTAAGTTCCCAGTTCGATGCCGAGATTAGTCAAGATCTGGACCCAGCTGTCCTTGAGCTGGTTTTTTATAAACGATTCTAGCTGCAGAACCAGCCAGTAGCAATGCTGACCTATCCATCCATTCAACACTCATTGTTGATTATTCTTCACCTTAAAATACAAACCATGATATGTCGCTGGCATTGTTAAAATATCTCTAGGCCTATCTCCATCTCTCAGTTAGACATACCTAATGGAATTCACTCTCCTAGTAGGTGGACTAGGTATAGGTAGACTAACCAAGATAAAATATAGAACTCACTTGAATAGCACAGGTCGGTCCTGGAGTTTGGCCATGGCCTGGTTCAGCAGTTGGTTGATTCCTGGAGCCTCGATGTTACGACAATGTGTCTGGGCCCAGCGGTACAGTCTTTCCAAAGCCGTCTCCTAGATAAACCGACAGAGTGAGACAAATGACAATTTGAGAAAGGCCACTGAAAATCAATTAGATTTTCTAAGAACACAATTACACAATTTTATTGGTGTCAAAATCTGACATTATCATATATTGGTTATCACATCACACAGCTGGTTGGCAACAGTCAATCATTTAGGCCCGGTTTCCCCAAAATGGTGTAAACTACGTTTATAATAAACTAGTTTATTTTTAAACTCCGTTTAAAATGTGTTTTCGGTTTCTCCAACATTTTACTGGCTTCGTTTAAGATAAACGGCAATTCGAGCGGTTGGCAATCCTGAATGTGTATTTGTAAGGAATTTTCGGTGGGCTTTGGGCTAGTGTTTCCTACAACCACCACAGCGCTACGCTACAACTCAGTAGAGCAGACAGCAAAGTGCGAATGCAGCTAGAATAACATAACTGTTTAAGGTTATGTTATCAAGTTATTATAAGTTGTTGTCAAATTCAGATTCATTCCATTTATTGAAATGGTCAATTCTGTCCCTTATTTTAGTAGGCCCTCTTGTTCTAGGTACTAACGTGTCATAATCTTCATCTTCTACTTCTTCGGAAATGTCTATTAACTCTTCCGTTTGAGGGGGTAAATAAGTTACCTGCAATTAATTAGTAGTAGCCTAACTTGAAATAAAATCTAATTTACTAAAAAAAGAACTTAATAAACAATCAATCAAAATATAAATAAAACTTAACTTAAAGCTAAGTTAAAGATAACTTAACCTAAACCAAGCCTAATTTCGTCCAAATGAATTCGTAGTTGCTTAAATTATTATTGTTTTAACACCTACTATTTGTTTTGATTTGAGGTTATGTTACTGTTGTAATTTACTAATTTGAACTCAGTTTATTTTATCCCCAGTAGTTAAACCAAGTCAAGAGGTGGTTTAGTTTGAACTTAGATTAATAACTAGTTTAAATTTGGGGAAACACAAATCAAAGTTAAACTAAGTTTAAATCGCCGTTTAACTTAAAACTAAGTTTAAATGAGTTGGGGAAACCGGGCCTTAACTTGTGGTGTTAGAACAGTTTCATGCCTGTTTGTTATTGTCTTTCTACTTTTTTATTGTAAACCAGACTATAGTAGAAATGAAATTACGAAAGATATTCAGAAAGTAAGGCATGTTTCTGTCTGACGCCAAAGGGGTGCATGCTGATCTTGCAACAGTCGTATTCCCCTCTTCAAAGACTATGCAGCCATCACAGCTGAAGTCCTGTTGTGCTGCCTGTTGTGGCAATACAAGTTTTATAAGTGTACTAGGAATTCGAGCAAGTTTTTTTTAACGAATAACAGTCACAATTTCCGTTAACTTAAAAGAGTCACCTCAAAGATAATTTAATGAACCACTCTACTCCTGTTATCGAAACTGGAAACGAACTCACTCTGAAAACGAACTAACTTTGAAAACGAACGCTCTTGTGTGTATCATGTGTTTACTATGAACAGATGTAATTAATACAAATTATTCGTCTGTTTAAGCAAACAAAATCTTTTCTTCATAAGAAATACATTGGGATTTTGATGGCCTGTGGGACAAAGCCCGAGAACTTTTATTACAGGAATTGGGGAAAGGGGGTGTCTACATAAAAAATACTATATTTTGACACATCGTTTGTAAAAATCCGTCCATTATTAACGGAAGAGTAGTGTTTCGTAGAAATCGCCTTCACGTATTATATATAAGGATTCCAATGGAAAATCACACTAGTTGTGAGGTGTGGTCTGTTATACATTTTTTGTTGGCCATAAGCTTATAGAAATTTGTTGTCAAGGAAGAGTGTACTGAACAACGTAATAACAACATAGTACAACTTAATAAATTACAGTTCTGTCCTAAAATTGTGCAGTCGGTTTGAAAATGGCCAAAATAAGGTTGAAGTACCAAATTTTGTGTTTTCATTACAATAACCATAATCAACCGGCAAATCACACACAAGATCTCCTTCATTTATTGAAATAGATTTTCCCTCAACCAGTCTAGTGACCTTGCTTTTAGTGACTTTCACTTGTTTAAAAAATTAATAAGTTACTTGGTTATAAGCCCAGCGCTATGATTACAGCAAGGAACTCCCATTACTTGCCACTGGGTGAAGGAGCTCACAGACGACAAAATTCTACAACAAGGTAATTTCAATGCTCGTCCACCTTTGTGACTATGTAGAAAAGTGGTATTTTAGTTGTTCTTTCATATGTATACACAATTTGTTTTTTTCTTATAGAAACTTTATTGCAAAACTTTCCTTACATTCTGAATAGCCCTTGTATTTATCAGAGCATAATTGTGTTGTGAGAGGAGAACATTCCTCAAGCACCCAAATTAAAACTCTTACAGATAATGTCTCTGCACAGTGACACAAGAATCTTCACTTTTGAAAAATGCATCAAGCTTCACCTACCACTCCTTCATGTTTATTGCTATTAATAAACATCTAAGATTTCCATCACACCTTTGAAACACACCTGGCATATCCTCGCCACCTACACAAATATTACCAGGTTTTGCCACACACTACTTTTAAATACTGCTTGTCCACTAGTATTATAACAAAATAATTGAGAATTATATACACTGAACCATTTAGCCTACTCTAAAAAAATAAGAAAAAACATTATTATTAAGTCTCTGATGTTACAATACATGAAGCACGCATCAAAACAAGCTTAAGATTTCAAATACAAGACGATGAGAAGTCTACGAATACCGTATACCACAGAGAAGTAATATATCTAGAGGAAACATTCAATGGTACACACAAGTGGAAGTGGTACCTAGCGCATGTGCTGGTGCCTAGGGCAATGAGAATGACCCCCTCTCTGCTCCCTCGCACTCATGTACTAAAACACTCATGGTGGAGGAAGACTGTGCCCTGTTCGATCGGAATTTCCGCAAAGTGCTTGCTATTCAGGCTCTCTCTCTGCAAGTATATTTTCCACCCTAACATACCAGAGCTGAAAGCACACAGTGGTCCCATAAGCATGTATCCTCTATAACTTACTTCTCTGTGCGTATCCAAAGTAAAAAGTGATATTTTTTATCCAACCTGATACATAGCCATTTGATCCATGATGTCCAAAGCTGATGTTTGATGTCCTGACTGCATTAGTGTGCGACAATTGGCATGGATTGTTTGAACTCTGTCCAATGCGGCAAAAAACTCTTCAGTAATGTTGGCCTCTCGCAGGGCTGACAACTCGGCAGGTGTCAGTTGGAAACTCTTCAAAAATGATTGAGCCACCTCTTGCTGCATTGTCAGTTTTTGGCTAGGATAAATCATAAATCATTATTATATTTCTACAGTTGGTTAACTTCTCTTTTATATCACCATTTAACCCTCCCAGTGTTACTTGACGAAAATTCGGCAAGCACCACACTTTGTATAGTGTTACTTGCCGATTTTTCGACAAGCAGACATCGTTTACGGCGAAGGCTCTATAACTGACTGAATCGGATTGAACTGGATCGAGTTAGGTATCGTTCTTTCCGTAATATTCTAAGCTTTCTGCAGAGGTCTGTCTCTAAGCGCTATTCATTTTAGTTCCGAAAATATTGTAGCAGACAGCTGACGTGCGTGTATTTGTAAACAGCTAGGTTCCCCCGGACCGATGACTGATGTGTTTTATTACGTTTATCATTGTTTTAGTGTTAAAAATCAAAAGTAGTGATATACGTGGTGCATTATAAGAAGATTTAAGTGGTTTTGAAGTGCTGGTTGATGATCCTGAAGAAGTAGGTAGTGATATTGATGTAAATTATCAGCCAGATTCCTAGCTATGGTTAGGCTATGCATTCTTAGCTAAACGCTATGTACTGAAATCAGTTTTTTGCCCATAACTTATTTATTTGCAAATATACTTCCTTATATTATTATATATTTGTAATCCTCATAAAATTTAGAACAAAGTGGCTATTTTCAAATATTTATAGGCCTATAATTTATACAATTTCATTGAGCGCGAACTTATTTTTTTTTTGAAAATTTTCGAAATTATATTTTTTTTACCTAAAAATTTTTTTTTTTTTTTTTTAAATGTTCCTTATGTTTTATATATAATATTGAAGCCCATGATTTTCCAAACAAAATGGTATATAGAACATTAGAATTAACATCGTTTTAAGCTTCTCAGATCCGTTTTAATAAAACCTTGCAAATGCGCCAAAAATAGGTGGACATTAAGGCCTAAACTATGGACACTTGGAGGGTTAATGTGATGAAGATTGTGAGTCCTTGTTGCAAGTACATTTCAATGAAATGTTTAAATCGTCCTGTACTGTCAAGTGATCCAGTTTTTGTCAGGTAACGACACCTGTTGGCAACACCACAAGCAGGCAGCACTTTTTATTTTCAGGTCGCTATGATTTTGTTTTTGTTTAAGTAATCAGGTTTATATTAATTATGTTTTTGTCAAATATGTTACAGCTCTTCACATTACAAACGATGAAGAGGAATTATTCTTGGTAACTTTGAGAAAACAGGATCATTCAACAATACAACAGGTGTTTTTAACCATCACATGGGTATAAACAAGAGCCAAAAGAAATTTGTCCTTTTCATTGAAGCAGCATAGTTAAAAATAAGTGAATAACTGCTCACACATGAGACTAACATATTCAACAGACTACTACTATCTGCATATTCTTGTGATTTTTAACTAATAAATAACATAAAAGCCTAGCTCTATTAGTTAACTTACACATGATTTTGTGGCCATGGATTTATGACAATACATATTGCCTAGCTGCCATGTTGAAGCCACTATAGCTATATAGTTAAGCTAGTTATGTAGCTAGCTTGACGTTATTGTCAATGAGAAACTTTATGAATGAGCAATTTTCTTACGTGAAGAAATAATACACACACAAGTGCTTTCTTTAAAGAAAAACTTTACACAAAAAACACAAAGCCCAAATAGCTGATGGACTATAGTTTTATAAGAAAAGTAATACAGTATTGTTACCCCTCAGCCTGAAGTTTAGTGGTGTGCTCTATGAGCTGGTGTGTCTGAGCTTTGGTGGCCTGAAGCTGGGCCGTCATAGTTTCTACCGCTTTATTCATATCAGTGACATCAAGATAGATATTGTCAAGAGCCTCTTTGACTTTTCTAAATGCTGATAAAAAGTCCTGAACAGATACAAATCAGTAAGCATGTCATTTTAATGAACTTACAACTGTTTTCAACTTATGTTTGGCCATATTTAGATAAATAATAAACAATTTTAACTGTGCAGCTATCAGGGTTCATGTTGTTCATTCTTAGTGATATTGAACTCTTTTGATAAGAGAGGTACTTTGTTGTGAGTGTAAGGCTGGCACTGAGTCCATCCTGGCCCCCCACACAATATGTGAGCTGTATGTCATGGCAGGCCTTACCACAGAGACAAACAGCCAGTGAGACATGAGTCCTGGCTTCAGCCCCCATGTACCTCCCACCATTCACCTGCATGCCATGAGCGACCCTCTGCTTCTTCTATTATGACTTATGCATTATTTTAAACATGAGAGCATCCCCATAACTCAAAGTATAGGCCTACACAAATAAAAGCGGAAATGGGCAACGTAGTAGCTGCTGTGCTGCTGAAAGATGAACCAAGGGGAAAATAAGCCATGGAAAATGGTTGTTACAAAAGAACAAATTTTGTAAGCAGCCACTATTTTGTCTTTTTGACAGTTCAATGGTAATGGAAAACAAATGCCTAACAATTCCAGGAGAATAAGAATAAGAATAAGAATAAGAATATTTTATTTCCATTGATCTGTTTGTACAGAAATAGGACAAGTCAATTTGTTATACAATGTTATACAAATGAGATTTATATTTCATCAAACAAAGACCAAAAAGGTATGTGTTTTTCTTTGCCAGTGTCATTTTACCTGAAAGAAATTCGAACACTTTTAAGAGAGCGGTCCAACTCCTGAAATATAAGTGGTAAAGGTGAGAATTTAATATCTATTGGTAGTAGAAAAAGATGGAAAATGCACATATAATGGTATTTTTCGAGCTTACAGATGGTGAGTGGAAATAATGGACAACAAAAACCTATCTTGATCTGTCCCTTGGCATACAAAATTACCTGAAGAAAGTAAAATGATGGAACAGTTAATGTTTTTAATTTTGTGATCCTCTGACAAACAAGACTATGAAATTGAGGGCCTAGAGGCCAATTGTAAGACCACTAGTACTTTCAGTTCATTGGGTTACCAGTGGCAGACAAATTTATTTGCTAATGTTCTCCTTAATATATTTTGAATGAATAATGATGTTGCTCAAGGTAAGCAACATAAGCTTTCCATAGCAAAATTATTCAACTGTAACAGATTATCAGATAATAAATTATGTTTACCTCATTGATACTTAGACTTCTTTTCTCTATTTTACTCCTTAGGCTTCTTCGAGTTTGCATAGTATTTTCAGTAAAAAACACAGAGAGTTCTTTTAATGCATCCAAAGTTTCCTGAAAATTTTCAAAGTTAGTGAAGTATAGGTTTGAACACGAGGAGTTTCGTGCACAAATTGCACATTTTAATAGGATTCAGCACTTATTTCCAAGGCAAAACAATGTGATACCCTTATTTTGTTTTAGCGAATTTCCCATATACGGTAGGGAATTTAAGCTATTACTGTAGGTCTCGTGGTAAGACCTGGACCCGGGACCAGTTAATAGTTCTAGTTAATAGTAAACTAGAGGACGTATAAGATAAATATAATATCCAAGGAATAATCAAATTTATGATTTTTTATTGAGTAATACAGTATCTTGAGCTAACTGATTCAAACAAAAGATAATTTTTATTATGGTTGTTCACCTTGCGTTTTTAGACTAAACATATAGGATTATATAATTATAACTGGTGAAGGTACATCATAAATTGAAATTTCGTTAACGGAGACACCGAGTCTGTGCGTGCATGCCTTCAATTTGAGACCTCAATCATGAAAATCGGTCGGGTAGAAGAGCCAAACAAACTCGGAAAGGAATAAACCAAATTGTTTAACACATTCGATGGTCCACCGGTGGACCCCGCGCGTCTCAGCTGAGGAGCGGGGGGTCCACGGGTGGGGGAGCGCGCCATGTCATGTTTATTGTTTCAATGTGAGCTCAGCCATTGTCGGGGAACGTTGTAATCTTTACCAGCCTGTAGCTTATAATGCGAGCTTTATTCTGGTGTAGGTTGGTACAAAAATTGCCCGTAAAATCCCGTCTGGCAATGCTTTTGTCCCGTTTTCGGGGATTTTCTCAGTTCGAGCCGTATTACAAAGACTCTGGTTATTGATCCAGGCAGTGCTGCGACCTTTGGGTGTTTCAGTGAACTACGTCCACTTTCGGAGTAACGCAGAACAATCACCACTGCTCTTTTGTGATTCGTCTTACTGAGATATTTCAATACCAATAGCGATCGCTGATTCAGTTAGCGCGTCGGGGCTCCGCCCGGGCCTCGCCGGCTTAAAGGTTTAAAGGTTTCAGCAGCGAATGTGTTAAATGTATATATATAAGACTAGCAGAGTACCCGTCCTTCGTACGGGGTTGGCATATAAGTTTAAATTGCTTATTGCAGTTATACTCAAGCTTTGCGTTTGCAATGGGGGAGGACAAAGTTTGATAAAATTTGCTTCTTTAAATTGACGGTATACTATGGTATTACACATCTACCATAGCCATAATGTCCTACCTCTTCACCTACACAATAAAGAAAAATAAAGTATTACAAATTTAAAAAATCACAAATTATTCATGACATTAAAAACATAAACATAACTGTAAACAATCCTACTTTGACAGTTCTCATTGCGTATCACAGTTGTTTGTTGTTGCTTAGTTCAAACTAGCTGTTTACATAAATGCAAAAAAAAATATAGTGCTGCTGCACAATTTAATATAGTGCTGCACCCTGTTGGTAAATCTTATAACTTTTTAATGCTTTTGTATATCATAGAACCAACTTTTTTAGTTGAAACAGCTGACTAAATTCTTAAATTCCCTTTAAATATGAATACTCATAAGGTTAACATGGGGAACTACAGAGCCACTGGGGCGGAGCCCGAAGGGATTTTAGAGATAAGAATATGCCTATATGTTAATCGGGAATGTGAGCTATCATCATGCCAAATTTCAGCCCAATCCATCCAGTGGTTTATGCGTGATTGACCTTCAAACACACAAACAAACAAACAAACAAACAAACACACAAACTTTCACATTTATAATATTAGTAAGATTGTGATGGTGATGGTGTGAAATTATGGTGCAATGCCCCTCCCCGTCACTATCACAAAGAGGCAATTAGTCGTAATGACTTGTCTATGAGGCATAGCATAGCTAAACCTAAACATAAAAGAACTACAACTTGGGCAGAATATTCGGCCGCAGAATATTGTAAAATATATATTATCTAATTTTAATGTGACTAGCCGTCACATATGTGCGTCGCTGGTCCATATGAATGAAAGCTTACATGTTAAGTAGGTCACTAGCACTATACCTATTACAACTTTTCAAACTGGGGCGAATCCAAAACCTCCGGGATAACTTCGGCCGTTCTACTGCACTATCAACAACAGACGACACATCATCAGACAACATATCTGCACTAGGCCCTAAGTACCACAGCCTTCGTTTAGTTTTTTTACCCTCGTTAATATTTTTTAAGCCCCATTGGAAGTCTGTGCAAACGGCACCGTGGGAATGTGGCTTATGAATCATTCTATAGGGCCTGGAAATTAAGCGCTACACTACTAGTGAGATGTGGTAGGGTGTAGGGTCCTCTGTTGATGTGAGTGCTAAGTTAGACTTTTTACCTACCAAAATGGCTTAACTTAGTCATTCTAATAAAGTGTCGATTCAAACCCCCATTGGGTATTTGACTACCTAATACAAGTGCCTCCATATGAAATTTCAACCTAAATTCAATCTAACTTCAGAGTTTTAGCCTTCTGAATCTAAATGTAGAGGCTAAGTTACCACTATCTTTTTAAGGAAATTAATACCACTAGAAAAAGGTCACTTTTGATGTACCGGTACCGTATTGTTGTAAATAATCAACATTAGGCCTACTCTTCCATATTTCATCTCACTTGTCATCCTCCTTACATTGCTTAACAAACTTGGTTAACTTAGCTTAATTTCATTTTGGCAATATCACCTGACTAACTAATAGATTTTATTACAAGATCCTATTCAAAAGGCGGATGATGTCTTTGCAACATGAGGGGATGTCAATATATTGCCGTGAACTTAAGAGGCGATAGTGATGTCTTTGTCACCAGAATGTCGAAATATTGATGCCACCTTGAGAGACAACGGTGATGTTATCACAACTGCAGGGATGTAGCTGATTTTACCGCTATCACAAGAGGTAATGTTGATGTCTTTGCAATCGTGGGAGTAGAAGATGCTCCTGGATTGCAGCGGAAGATGTTAACCTTTATCCCCAATAGCGGGAGATAACTAGCTAGAGCCGCGATCACGGATTAATTGTCATGACAACATTAAGACACGAGCATAGGTATTGAGATGTCCAAGAGAAGAGATTTTGAGAAATATTTTTTTTTTTTTTTGTCCCTTCAAATAATAGTCGTCGCTGAGAATTAATTGTGTGCGTAAGTGCGATGTGGCCACTGTCACGAGGATAGGCTACCAGACGTGTGTTAGGCTACATGCATTTTTGTAAATTAAGTTAGGCCTATTGTGTGTAGGCCTAATGGCTGTTTTATTTCAATTTTCATGAAGAAGCTTTAGCAGATGCCTGAGTATGTTTACTTACTGTGTTGACAAAACGTGTCGCAAAAATCAGAATGCCAGAAGGTGAAAACATTGAAATGTATTTACCATTACCGGTAGGTACAAATATTAATGTTCCAGTAGTAAGTTAGGCCCAACATAGGAAATTAATTCTGATTAGAAACTAGGCCTATGCTTAGACCTAAATTATAGTCTCAAGCAAATAGGAGGTATAAGTCCATATCTGTTGTCAAAAACAACTGAACGAAGCATTATTTGATATAGGCTATCGTTAAATCTTGAGGAGATTTTTTGTCGCTGTACTTTCAAAATCTAACCTAGGTACATGCATTTTCTGAAATCTAAATTAATATTAAATATATTTTTTTTTTTATCTGTACAATACTCTGTTAATGTTATTATCTGTTATCGTTGTTTCGTTGCTGTCTTGTTGTATTATTTTTTGTTGCAATGCTAATTTGTTCGGCTGCACTTTACTTGACGTCCTACACTCATTCGATTATTTTTTTCGATTCGATATTTTCATTCAATATATCGTTTGGTTAGTTAGGTTAGGTTAACCTTACCTAACTAACCAAACGATATATCGAATGAAGCAATCGATTAATCGATATATCGATCGATATTTTCATTCAAATGAGTGTAGGACGTCAAGTAAAGTGCAGCCATTTGTTCAATGTTTGTTATGTAACTTCTCTTGTTATTTCCAATGCAATTGTTATTTTTTCATTCTGCTCATGTGCTTAAAAAACACATATTATTTTGTAAATGGTGTATCCGTTGAAATGAATAAATAAATAAACATCGTTCATTGGTTAGGTTAAGTTAGGTTAACCTGACTAACCAAACGATGTATCGAATGAAATAATCGATATATCGATCGATATTTTCATTCAGTTGTTTTTGACAACAGATACGGAAGTGCACCCCAAATAAGTTAGCATTTGATAAGCTAACTCTAGAGTTAAGAAAATAAAATGTTCACACTGACCTTATCATTTTCAAAACGAGAATCAAACAGCTTATTTAGTCTTGAGTTGATAACATTGGCTTTTGGTACTTTTTCATCACCATCCACACTTTCAGAGTTAACTGACATTTTCAAGGATATAAGTAGACTATTTAGGCTTAATATAGGTAGAAAAATATATATCAGTCCTTTATCCAATTAAATTTACCAAACAAAACTAATCAAATCTTCGGAAGTTAAGTAAAGTTCCTATTGATAAATAAAAAGGTTCAGTTTCTTAACTGGGCTCATCATCAAATCGTAGGCCTGTACCAATGTAATTATTAAAGGATAAAATAATTCGAATAGGTAACTTAAATAACTTAAACGTAAACTAAACTAACTAACAATAACAACAACAACCACTGAACTGAGCAACTCAGACTGACTGAACTGAATAGTGAATGACTACCAAACCAACAACAACAACATGACAAGACAAGACCAAGACAGAAGACAATATTCAAGACAGTGTTCCCAGATTGGCCGTAGTCAAATATCGTACACGCGGTCCTAAATTATCGTATTTCACGAAAAATTATCGTACAATTTTAAATAACAATCGTAACTGGCTTGAGTATTGAAATACCTAATAGACTTATATATTTTTTTATTATAAATCTCAAAATCGCCATAAAACCATATTATTTTTAGTTTTGCACGTTGTAATCATAGTAGGTAACTGATATTATGTGAATATTTCTCAACCTCAACACAAACACTACACCAGTATTTTCCTTCCACCATGCACTCATGGCCACCTTTAACTACAGGCCGCGGCCTGGTAGAATTGGCATCTCCACAAGTGGTATGTTGTTCAGTGACAGACGTCTCATAAGATAACATGGCAGACAGGTGATATCAGCTCATTAATTCACACTTTATTGATTTCAATTTAAATTTATACACATAAATTTATTAAAATATTGAAAAAAAGACATACAGAATTGAAAACCGAAACAATATGAATTAAAAATCTATTATGTACATTTTAAGCGGAGTCAATATTGTCATAGTCCAGTAACCAATATTTCGTTAATACACAAATACCATTAGCTGCTTCACTTCCAAACAAAACAGCTGTTACAACACCTCTTGTGATGTTGCCACTTTGAAGGCCGAGGCCTGGAGTTAAAGGCGGCCGTGCGTGCACCCGTGCACCTGCACCATCGATCTCTAAAATAGAGATCGATGGCGTGCACTACTACACCAATAATTCGCCAAATGGGCGAGATTATGTACGGAAGGTCTGTTCTTATGGTAACAGACTTTCTCGTGGTGTAGGAGAAGCAGAAGAAGCGAAGCAGAAGCATTCAAGCAGTTTAGAAGCACATTTCATGGAAATGGTTTCGTTTTAATTTTATTCATACTAACAGTTAACTTATAGTTTTCATAAGATTGATTTTTTATTTATTGATTTTTATATCCCATCTCTAATAAATACTGAGTTTTGATTTAAAACAGCAAAAATGTTTCCAAATTTTTGGGTATAACCTCCCAAACCAATTTTGTAAAAGAGTACTATTCAATTGCCCAAATTATCGTACAAATAGCATTATCGTACGGTGACGTATCGTTCATCGTACGGGAGGCTAAATTATCGTACAAAACGATAATTATCGTACGTCTGAGAACACTGATTCAAGACAACAGACAACTCAAACAGCAACAGCTGATATAACTGACAAGGACGAGACAACACAACCAACATTTCAATTTTCTGATTCAAGCGGAAAGTAGGGGACAGCTCACTTACTCTACAGATCATAGACTATACGAGCTTTGTAAATAATATTGAAGGTTCACTTGCACTACAGGCTCGTATACTATACGAGCCTATCGAAAATAAAAAATAAATGAAGAGGGTTCACTTACTCTACAAATCATTGTGCCTATGAGCCTCGTGTATTATATTTAAAAATACAGTAGGAAGGTTCACTTACTCTACAGATCATAGTGACAATGAGCCAAGCTTACGAATTATTTGATAATTCAGGAATCGGCTCGTATAGTATACGAGCCAAAATAATGAATAATATAAATTATAGGAATAGGCTCGTATACTATACGAGCCTGCAGAAAAATATTAGATGGCTCACTTACTCTACAGTTCATTGGCACTATGATCCGTAGAGTAAGTGAACCCTCTTCAAAATATTAGATGGCTCACTTACTCTACGGCTCATTTAGCTACTCGTTGCGCGGTTTGCGTTCGTGAAACTCTAGGCGCTATGCCCGGCTTCGACTGCTGCGACTGCCTACATAAGTGTATTGCATCACCTCAATTATTTATTAAAACGAAATAAATATGTATGCACAAGTAAATTTATTACATTTTTGGACTGAATACTTTAAAAATGGAGGGAGCATGACTTTTATGTTTAATTAAATTAAACGTTATAGAATAAAAAATATTTTGACTAATATCAGGTTATATAATACACACTTGTATGATCCAGATACAGAGCTACAGACAAAACCTGTGGTCCGATTTAGATTAAATTTTGTATCTGGATTTATCCACGAGTCATCAATTTTTTAAGCACGGGTTGAGAAATAATGGCAAAAATTTATAAAAACAGTTCACCAGTTTAGAATATTTCTCAGTTACTGTGAGTTGCAAAAAAAGTGTATACAGAAGCATTTGTGTACACAGAAAATATAGAGGACTATATGTATACAGAAAATATATTAAAATACAATACGCACACAACTATCAACGTTTACATCTATCTATATAAATAAAATTAGAGTTTTGTCTGTACATTGCTCAGAATTATATATTTTTAGGTTATTTTTACGTCTTATACATTAAATAAGCAGAAACGAGTCTTATCTCAATTTCTGTCTGTCTGTCTGTCTGTCTGTCTGTCTGTCCCTTTGTCTGTAACACTCAAGATGGCATTTTACGCTATCTTCTCCTGGAAAACGAGAGTACCTAACAAGATCCAAGTCATTTTAATGTATTCACTGGATTGGCGAGATTGTCTTAAGCCATTAAAATATGGCCTCACTACTTTGTAAATAATATTACGAACGTTCAAAAATGTACTTTTGTGCGATTTATGTCAAGTTTTCGTCCAATTTTTATTGCATAATCATCTATGAAATAACGAACAGCTGTTCGGATCAAGATTATTTTTCCTAGCTGTCACTGATATGTTTACAAATGTTGTTTACAAATACCGCAACCTTTTTCAATCACGTTTTGAATGTAAATCCCAAGTGATTAAAAACGTTTTTCTTACATAACCGATTTAATTAATCGAAAGTGCAATAATATAGTGTAATAGTGTAACCGTGTAAATGAAATTAAATAACTAGGCATCATCCAGTTCAGGAACCAGAGATTCTTTGTGTATAAATTGTTCTTGAGTTTTGATAACCAGAAAGAAGACCTTGAATCAGTGTTGTATACGGCTGGGAAACTTTAAATTTAATAATGATCGTCGCCAAATGGCTTAGAAATATGGTTTCCACTCATTGACACGGCGCTTCAATGGCGGTTGTGTAAAGTGTAAAGTAAAAAATCACAACTGCAGGGGGTGATTGTAACAGAGGTTTACGGATGATGCTAAACTCGCTTTTCTAATGTGTTATTTTCTGTTCCTACCATTGACTACAGGGTGTTTTTTTAAAAACTTGCATCTTTATTTATGTAAAAACCGCAATAGATAGAAATATGCAGTTTGCGGGAATCATCTATTGATGTAGGGGGACCAATTGTTTTGAATTCAACGTTACATTCACATTCCCCCCCTTTCCCCCCCTGCCCCCAACTTAATTTTTTTAAATAGCAAGGTACCCCTTGTGACATATCAAATAAAAGAGCATGAAAAAAGAAAATGTTTGATGAAAAAAAATTGAAAATCGGTTCATAAATTTGTGAGATATTCCCCCCTCACCCCCCCCGGAACTTAATTTTTTTTAATAGCAAAGTACCCCTTGTGACATATCAAATGAAAGAGCATGAAAAAAGAAACATTTTGGCGAAATTTATTTTTCATTTCATATGTTACAAGGGCGGGTACCTTGCTATTAAAAAACAAGTTATGGGTAGGGGAAAAGGGGGGTGATTATCTCACAAATTCATGAGCCGATTTTAAATTTTTTTCACCAAAAATTTTCTTTTTTCATGCTCTTTCATTTTGATATGTCACAAGGGGTACTTTGCTGTTAAAAAAAATTAAGTTCCGGGGGGGTGAGGGGGGGAATATCTCACAAATTTATGAACCGATTTTCAATTTTTTTTCATCAAACATTTTCTTTTTTTATGCTCTTTTATTTGATATGTCACAAGGGGTACCTTGCTATTTAAAAAAAATAAGTTGGGGGCCGGGGGTGGAAAGGGGGGGGAATGTGAATGTAACGTTGAATTCAAAACAATTGGTCCCTGTTTGAGCATTCTCAAATTAGGTCTAAACTTAAATTTATTTTAAATAAAATAATACTTGTTTTGTCATTTAAATAATAGATATTTAAATGTTTTGTGTGTAAATAAATCACTGCACTTTTTGGTTCAATTCAGAATAATATTTTAAGTGAGTTCATAAAATAAAATTGTATTAAGTTAAGCCAGACAGAGAGAGAGAGAGAGAGATAGACAGACAATGCAGAGGAATGTGCTGCGTATCCTGCTTATCAGTTCCAGCCGACATGATATAGACTGACCAGTGGCTTTTCCTGTACACTGCTCCAATTCACTCAGTTACTATGCAGTCTTCATGTGAAAAACATTATGAGGGTCTCTGAATCCCTCTAAATATTTTACCATGGGTCTCAGTATCCCATACTAAATCATCAATTATTGACTCTATTGTTTCTACAGAAGTTTTATTTAACCGTGAGGAACATTCACCAGAAGTTTGTGTGCACACAGTGTTATATTTTATTTTCTCAAGAAGTGTTAATCTCCATTACTTGGTATTAACGAACATTCGATAATTTCTTCTCTTCAAGGTCGTGAGTACATCTCTACACATCATTCCTCTCTGTCTATTTCAATTTGGACTTAAATATCTCATCAAGAGAATAGTTTTGATTTTAATATTTTTATTGTAAAGGGTTAATTTAATTTTGTATTATTATAATATTTTCTTAACTCAAATGGATTTATTATTTTTCCAGTAGTAACTCACTGTTTAAACAGATCAATAAACTTGCTTTCTACTATATTAACAAATATCTATTGAACCAGCAATTATTCAGTTTGGTAGCAAAGTCAGGAATTTAATTTTTAATTCCCCTTTGTTCAAACATATTGGTCCTTCGAGCCGGATTAACTTAGTCATTTGTTAATAAATAAAAAAATGTAAATTAAAATATCCTTTTAAAGAAACATTGAAGGTCATTTTTTAAATTGTCAAAGTAAGGTTAATTGTATT